GTCTGAATTGATCAAAGGGGATTTAAGTGTTATCAAAGGAGGTAACCCTATTTATCTTTCGATATCACACCCAAATAAGGATATCGGATTCGAATGGATATCGGAAGAATACCTCGATGTCTGGATGAATACAGGATTAAGAGGTAAATGTCCGGTTGGTGTCCTACCTGTCTGCAAAGAGGCCCGAGGTCGATCAATCCGAGACCGAGATTGCAAAATTGGCGAGGATATCAACCTCGGCGAGGCCTCGACCTCGTGCAACTCTACTTAATACCACGATATCAGGCCCAAATCAATCCCTTTATATTCACTTTGACCCCTTGAAATTTCCCGATATCACTCAAGGTCCACTTGACCCTATATGAAAGAGAAAACACAAAACACGGACGGACACGGACTACTTCGAAAACTGAAATGATTATTATTAATAATGATCATTATTTGCTCGTTAGGCCTTGAGCAAGCCATAAAATTATAAAATTTAAATTTCTTAAACATAAAATTAACATTTTTATTTTTTAATTTTTTTGACATTAGAGTATCCTCAAATGTCTGATCCTCAAAAGTCGCATCCCCAATAGAGATCGGAATTTTGAAAAAACCGGGACCGGGAAACGGGAAACGTGTTCTGAAGGTCGACCGGGAGGGACCCGGACCGGGAAAACCGGGAATTCCCGTTCCCGGTTTCATCCCGGTCAAAAATGACCGGGACCCGGACCGGGAAACCGGGAAATTTAAAAAAATTTTTAAATTCATTTAAAAATTTTAAAAAGTTATGGGAGTAGTTATTTATTGAAAAATCTGATTTATAAATAGAAGAATTTAATAAATCAGTAAAATAAATCAATAAAACAAATGTAAATTACATAAATTAAAACATAAAGCGGATTACCCTAGGGCTAAAGGGATTTGAGAGGCTAGAGAATGATTGTGGGATATTAGGGATTTTGGAGTTTAAGATCTCCCGATAGCCTCCTCAAATTTTTTTATATCGCCTATATGTATTCCTCATTTAATTCCATTTAATCCCTCCTAATCTACCTTGATGCTGATTTAATTTTAATTTAATTTTTATTTAATCCCTCTAAATCCACTCTGATCTTCTCTGTGCAATAGTGATATCAGGGATTAAAAGAGATATCGAGAGATTCAAGTATTTGTTGGGAGCATTAAGAGAGATTGTGGAGAAAGACCTCAAACACCTATATCACCTGATATCTATTCAAATCCCTTCAATTGGAAGACAATGATACAGATGATTAAGGCAGATCTAATGGATTTAGAGGGATAAAGATAGCTTAATCACCAGGTCCCTTGATAAAATCGCACTATACACTAATTTCCCTCAATTTTTCCTCCAATAATACCTCCAAATTTCTCCGTTCCAAATTCTTCCGCGAAAATTTTGAAAATTTGGAATGCCAAACAGCCAAATTTCTTCCGTTTTCAGCGCCGCAGGCGAAAATTTTGAGAATTTTTGCAAAATCTCCAATATTTTTAAGTCAAAAATCAAAACGCCAAGCAAAAATATTTAAAATTGGCTGTTAGAATTTTTCCCGGTTTACCGGTCTAAAAAAAGCCGGGATCGGGAACGGGAAACGGGAAATGAAAATTAACCGGCCGGGACCCGGACCGGGAAAACCGGGAATTCCCGATCCCGGTTTCATCCCGGCATCTTCAAAAAAGCCGGGAAAAAGGACCGGGAAACCGGGAAACGGGACCGGGTCCCGATCCCGTTCCGATCTCTAATCCCCAAAGGCCGCATCCTCAAAGGTCGCGTCCTCAAGAGTCGCATCCTCAAAAGTCGGATCCTCAAAGGTCGCGTCCCCAAAAGTCGGTCCTCAAGTGTCGTGTCCTCAAAAGTCATATCCTCAAGTGTCGGGTAGCCATCTTGCGCTCACTATTACTAGTATCTAATTTACTAAATCTAATCATTTTCATCTAAAATCTCTTTAAAGTTTCTCTCGTTATTATTTGCTAATAACCTAATAATTAAAGCATGCCAAGATCTAACCTTGAAAGGGCCACATAAAAGTGTCCATAACTAAACACATCTTTACTCAAATCTATTCCTAGTTTTTCTAAAGTCTGTCCTTGTATTTTATTCACATTTATAGCTAAAGATTACACCAATGGTTTAAAAAGCTGAAAAAAACAAAAATATATCTAAAATATTAAATTTATTTTTGCCATTTTCGTCTAAAAATTGTGTTTACGAAACGAAAACGAAAGAAAATATTTTTTAAAGAAATACGAAACAAAAGCACGAAATTTTACATTTAAACGAAACACGAAACGAAACGAGAAATTTTCGCCCAGCTCTGACTCCGAGATAGACTTTTCAATCCGACTATATGTATTCAACTCTAATATATTCTTTTTGATTTTCCGGTAATAGTTTGGAATTCGGCCCCCTTTTTTCAACGTTTCCCTGACCATTTTGAGCTTTTTTGTTTGATACATAATTTACACATATCATTCGAAAGAGCTCTTCGAGCTTGGTCGAATGATACCATGATTGGCTAGATCTGATCATTCTTACCAAAATTAGAAGCTAAATACTATTTGGACAAACTTTTTGCCAATGCAAGGCGATAAAATAAACGGTCATAACTTTGTTCACTTAAGTCAGATTTCGTTGATTTTAATGTCATTCGACTTAGCTCGAAGAGCTCTTTAGATTGATATATAATTTGCCATAAAATGAGAAGAAAATAAGAAAAAATAGAAAGGAAAAAAGGGGGGGCGAATTCCAAACTATTACCGATTTCCCTTTGATATTTCCCAAAATGCTATTTTCGTATAGCCTTTTATTTGATACTTTTGCCAAGACAAATAATTTACAATGATCAGAACGATATTATTATTTCAAAATAAGAATTAAAAGAATTTATTTGGAATAATGATATCTAGAATTTTAATAAATTTAAGGCATTGTTCCCATTCCTGAACGAAAATGGCGGAATTTATGTAATTGAGGATTTGCATACCGCATATTGGGACTGCTATGGAGGCACTGCCATTGTGAATAATAACAGAACCGGGTACATTATAACAGATCCGGGTACATTACCCGGCTCTTCAATCAACTTCCTTAAAGATCTTGTTGATGAAGTAAGTGTTTATACACTCTGTAACAAAATGATAGCGTCAGCTAGTTTTTTATCAATATCTCACCAAATATGAACGGAATATTTTTAAGACATTTACTCCGGTTTTCCGTTGATTTTCGAGTGTCAGATTTCGATAAAGAAATTAAATCAGAACTTTTTTTCTTTTGATATAGACATCAATAGTGTAAGGCGTACTTTGATCCGGATGGGCAAGGATGGAGAAAAGGATCTTTAGTTCCTCTGGGAAAGGATTGAATAAGGGGAGGAGAATGACAAATAAGGCCTTAGGATAAAACTAAGTGGAAAATAGGAGAAAAGGGATCAGTCGACTGTTCACCAGTCAGTTGGAAAGTAATAAATAGAGAAGTGAATAAACCGGCCGAAGAAGCTGAGAGCTTATTCATTAATCCTGCAGAAGAAGCCAAGAGCTTACTAATCAGCGCATATTATTCCCGGGCAAGTCGGTCTCGTAACCGACCAGCAGCACCGGCGCACAGAAAGGCCTACCCTCCGCTCCGCAATATAATCATCGGCATCGCCTCTCGGGACCCTTAACATCGCACGCAACCCGCCCATCATCCCAACACCATCCTGGCCCAGCACTAGCTTTACTATAGACATGTTTACAGGAATTTTTGCAGATTTTTGGGCACACCTAACTAAGGTCAAAAATACTTGTGGCGCTATCTCTTTGTTACACACAAAAATCAAATTTACTGTTATAAAATTTTTCAAAAAATTGCTACAAAATTTTTCTTTTCAATATTAATACATAATATCCTTACCTACATATATCCTGCTAAAATTTGAAACATATCCGTTTCATATTTGATAAAAAACTAGGTGGCGCTATCATTTTGTTACAGAGTGATAGCGCCACGCTATCATTTGTTACAGAGATACATAATATCCTTACCTACATATATCCTGCTAAAATTTGAAACATATCCGTTTCATATTTGATAAAAAACTAGGTGGCGCTATCATTTTGTTACAGAGTGTATATTCAAGATTAGATGTAATAATTACATTAAATAAAAAATAATCTATTTTATTAATAACAAAGGTAAATTTTGTTGGTGCAAACACGGGCTTCGGTTCGTCTAAACATGTAACGCCTGAACTTCGTCAGAATATGTCCGAATATGCGCGTCACATTGAGTCCTTACATTTCTACAACAGCATTTGCTTTATCACGAAGAAGCCATAAAATAGATTAGAATAATAAAATAAAATTTATACATAGCATTTATTTCTGATAAAGTTGTTAAAAATGTGTGATATTGTTCCAATAATATTTTTCTGAACTATTTTTGTTGAGAGTATGGTTGGCATGTACAGGGTGACAAGAAATGTTTAGGACAATTTTCATTTTTCCGTACATTTACCAAAAAATTTTCCGTTCGACTTCTACTCTGTATCCAAACAAGGGGTGGGAACTTCGAAAATTCTTAATTATACTTGATCCTTAGTTCTCTATCATATAAATTTTATTTGATCTCAATATCCTTAATTTGAAAAAAGTTATTCCATAAATAGTTTGTCCTAAACATTTCTTGTCACCCTGTATAAAAAGAAATACGGTATTTCTTTTTATTTAAACATTAGATTAAATAAAAAGAATTAAATATAAAATAAAATTTATTTTATTAAAAACAACAATTTACAAATATCCTATATTAAATTTGAGAATGCTTTGTTTGTTTGTCCGCAGCTTTAAATTTTGCTGTGTTTGGCGTTATGTTTTATTTTTAATTAAAAATGACAAAATATCCCAAAATGAAAATAGTGCGTATTTAGAGAAGTAAAGAAAGAGTGTGTATTTTTTAGAATTTGTTTTCCCATTTTTTTGGTTTTTTGTTCGTAGTTGTATTTGTGTTTTTGTTTTTATATGTTAAATGATTGTATTTTAGGCTTTCTAACTTTGGTATCCATCTGATAAGTGGTTTCCCATAATGGGTGAGAAAAGAGTTCCGGGAATGGCCAAAAGAAATGCGTCCTGTAAATTGTTAGGGAAAAGGTTTCGAATGTCTGAAAAAACCTGCTAATGGATGGAAGTAAAGAGTTACAGAAATAGGTAACAAAAGGACCTTTAATGAGCAAGAGAAAGGAGTATGGTACCCGCAATGGTTTGAGAGAGGAGGATCTACAGTGGTTGTGATAAGTGTCCGGCATTGTTAGAAAAAAAGGTACTCAATGTGTGTGATAGTATATGTATGAGATAAATGAGTTAGTTTAACTAGATAGTTTGACAATGTGTGATACTAAATAGATGTAAGTGATAATACTAACAGTTTGACATAGTGTGATACAAAAGTTGACAATTTAAAAGTTGATAGTTGAAAAATTAATTGATACTTAATAGTTGAAAGTTCTTGAATAGTTGATAAATGAAAATTGATACTTGAAAATTGTGAATTGAAAATTAAGAATTGAAAATTGAAAAATGAATATTAAGACATTAAGACTAAATTGTTAAAGTTCTTGAATAGTTGATAATTGAAAATTGGGAATTGTAAATTGAAAAATGAATATTAAGACGAAATAGTTGAAAGTTCTTGATAGTTAGTAATTAAAAATTGATAATTGAGAATTGAAAATTGAGAAATGAATATTAAGACAAAATATTGAAAGTTCTTGAATAGTTGTTAATTGAAAATTGATAATTGAAAGTTTATAATTGAAAATTGGAATTGAAAATTGAGAATTAGATTGATAATTGAAAAATTGACATAATTTGATAGTTGATATTACTAGATATTGACATAGTTTGATAGTTTTTGTGATTTTTTGACTTTTTTTGTTAATTGTATTTATATTTAATTTCCATATTTTAGACTTAAAAGCAAATTGATATTTTATTTAAACGTCGCAAATATCCATCCGCGGTTTTTTTGTAAGTTTTATTTTTTTCATATGTGCATTATTTAGCTTTTAGTTTACTAAATAGTTAAAAGTTCTTGGATAATTGAAAATTGTGAATTGAAAATTGAAAAGTGATAATTGAAAGTTGATAATTGAAAATGAGAATTGATAATTGAAAATTGTAAATTAAGACTAAAAGTTGAAAGTTCTTGAATGGTTGACAATTGAAAGTTGATAATTGAAAAGTGAGAATTGAAAATTAAGACCAAATAGTTAAGTTTTTGAATAGTTAATAATTATTAGTTTATATTTGATAGTAAATATGCTGATGGTACTTGATAGTTTGACAAGGTGTATTACTAAATAGAGATATTTTAAATGGGTCTATATTGTGTATTACTAAATAGAGATTTTGTGTATTACTAAATAGAGATATTTTAAATGGGTCTATATTGTTTATGTTTAAGAGAAGATTTAGTAATCGACAAAAGAGACCGACGATTGGTGATTGAAAGAGAATAAGTCCTGCAATCGCTGAGATCTATATGTTACTTGGTGAGAGGTTAGTAATAGTTTTGATATCAGATATATTGTCAATGTATGATACTAAATCTTATCTGCACCGCTGATAGATTAGGTTGGAGAGAAGTCAATAGGTAAGTTAAATGTTTGTAGAAAAAATATGTTAATAGGAAAGACGTGTGATGTTTTTGATATATTTGATATATCAGTAATTGCTGATATATCTTTGCTGACATATGTATATCAGTAATTGCCTGTCTAAGTATGAGTTGTTTTTATTTTTAAGCTTTTGTAATGAGTTAAACTTTGGCTAGCGGAAGGGGCACGCCCGAAGTGCGATCCCGTCCGCTAGTGTATTTAATTATGGAGGAGAATTAATGTAGGACTTTAGAGAGGTCTCCAGCAGCAACACTCGCTTTTGATTTTTTGCCGCGGCATCCCCGACCTGCCTTCTTCCTTTTGGTTTTGTCTGACTCCTCTTCCCCCGACGGTGATTGACAAGCATGTTTACAAGGGATTACAAGCACCGACGGTGACCGTGGGCTAAATACTAACACAAATTTCAAAATGGTAACTACTTATTATTATTAAATCGACTTCTTTTGTGTCATTTCCTTGGTTTTTCTTCAGTGTTAACTATCTTCTTTTGCAAAATGTAGTGATTTTCGAGATTCAGTGCTGCTTCCGAATCAGGAAATTTTCCGGGTTATTTGAGCTCTCGGTTTTGGTGTCTTAGTCTCTTTAGGTTTTAGCTATTATTGTTTTAATGTTTTAGCTATTGTAAGCAAGGGTTGGGTTCGAATCTAACGTTAGGAAAAAGACCTTTTTCACTCACAAAAACTGTTAAGTTCAAACTTTTAATTTTAAACTCGTAAATTTATATTTAAATATTACAAAAAGTGGAAAAAAAGTGTGAAAATTTTTTTTAATAAATAAGATGGATGATAAAAAGGTGTACGGAATTTTGGTCACTGGAATTTTGGTCACCAAGATTTTTCGGAACTTTGGTCACCAATTTTTTCGGAATTTTGGTCACTAGCGGAATTTTGGTCACCAAGTCAAAAAACGAAATATTGGACACTGAAAGTTTGGTCACCAATGGGAATTTTGGTCACCAAACTGAAAAAAAGAATCTTATAAAAAACTGATACCAAAGTGATAAAATATGATTTTTCAACCCCCAGTTGATCAATTTCAATGGTTATCACTTTCCCGGCTGATCACTCTCTCGATTGATCACTCTCGATCACTCTCCCGGATGATTGATTAACTGGCAGTGATCAGAATTGAAATTAATAAACTGGGGGTTGAAAGACAATATTTTATCACTTTAATATCAGTTTTAGATAAGAATTGTTTTTCCCGTTTGGTGACCAAAATTCCCATTGGTGACCAAACTTTCAGTGTCCAATATTCCGTTTTTTGACTTTGTGACCAAAATTCCGCTAGTGACCAAAATTCCAAAAAAGTTGGTGACCAAAGTTCCGAAAAATCTTGGTGCCCAAAATTCCAGTGACCAAAATTCCGGCACCCGATAAAAAAGAACAAATTTTTGCCTTCGAAAATTCTCAAACTTTTCGCCTCCGTTTTAAAATTTCTCCCATTTCATACAAAAAGTGTCAAGTCTAGGGTGTGTATATTTTTTTGGCCCAGCCTGGACTCATATTAAAAAATAAAATTAAGATATTTATGATACCTTCATCAATTTAAAATATATTCTCTAAAATTGGACTCATCTAAAAAATAGAAAAATCCACTAAAATCGGGAATACCCAATGCTCTCTTGATCTGGATCTAAAAACACTGAAGATTATTGTTGCCTTTGGATATATATTATATATTAATAATACTATTTTCCCTTTAGAAATTACCTATATATTTCTTTTTTATAAAAAAGGAACGAAAAATTAGATAACTTTTAAAGATTATTTTAATAAAAATTTCATACATCTATATTCTAATCTTCCTTTAGAATTAAATTGGGTCTCCATATTTTCATTTAAATGGTTCTGTGCATTTGCGCCGCGATTTATTTACGCCACTCTGACCTTAAATATAAAAAAGTGCTGAATTTTGTTTTCTTGGCCTTTATGCTTTATAAAAATATTGGCTTTTGCATCAGGGTTGCCACCCGAAACCCAAAACCCGAAACTCGAAACCCGACCTTTTTTTTGTACCCGAAACCCGATAACCGAATTGAAAATTTTCCAACTCCGAAACCCGTATCCGAAAATTTTTTGTACCCGTGGCAACTCTGGTTTGCATTCACTTTTGGCTGATTTTTGGCAGGCACTGAAAAGACAGCGAATTCAGGTAGACAGGAAATTTCAGGTAGACAGCGCCACACGGGTTATTGGCCCTGTTTATTGCCATCGTTTTTTCTTCATTTTTCTCAGCCTACTTCTGTAAAGAATGGTCAGATTTTCTTTGTTTCTCGAATTCATTCATTTCCCATCGGCATCAAAGCTCATCGAAATAAAAATACTTTTTATTTTTGAGTTCATAAAAACTTTTAATCGATATTTAAATCAGAAATATGCACCCCAAAAGATAGATGCATGACAAAAGAATACCAGAAACAAAAGTAGGCCCTGCTAATATTCCGATACCCACCTTAATCACTTTAGATCGCATATATCCGCCTTAATCTTCGATATCCTATTAATATCCCGGGATATATCCAAATTCGCTTTGGAGTATACCACTTTAAATATCGATCAAGGGGATAATGTAAGAAAAAAGGAAGAAAAAATGAAGGCCTATAACACATCTAGTTTCTAATTTGGAAAAATTTCGGAATACTAAACAGAACGCAAATGGGTCAAACTATATGTCTTTCGAAAGAGCTCGTCGAGTTGAGTCGAATGGTGAAAAAATTTTCGTGCGGACTCATACAGGGGCTGAGATATAGGCCCCCGAAAATCGAAAAACCATAGGGGGGACCAAGCACTTTTTTGGGGTAAAAAATTCGAATATGCAAATAGTAGCTCATTCGAAAGAGCTCGTCGAGCTGAGTCGAATGACACCAAAATCATCGTGATTGGACAAGTTTGAACAAAGTTACGATAGAAAAACTAAAACCTAAACCTATGGGGCGTCGGCGAGGCGCTTGTGCAAAACCCCGCGCTTCGCGCGGGGTTTTGCGGCACGCGCCTCGCGGGGAGTCTACGGGCGCTGGGTCTGGGCTTGTAACATAACCCTATTCCTATCTCCCTTGCTCTGGACGTATTTGGGGCCTCCGTAGCAGCAAAAATCTCCACAGATGACATAGGTAAGGAGCTAAAATAAAAGATCATAACTTTGTCCAATCAAGTCGGATTTCGTTGATTTTGGTGTCATTCGACTCAGCTCGAGGAGCTCTTTCGAATGAGGTATAATTTGCCTTTTCGAATTTTTTACCCCAAAAAAGAGCTTGGTCCCCCCTATGGTTTTTCGATTTTCGGGGGCCTATATCTCAGCCCCTGTATGAGTCCGCACGAAAATTTTTTCACCATTCGACTCAACTCGACGAGCTCTTTCGAATGACATATAGTTTGACCCATTTGCGTTCTGTTTAGTATTCCGAAATTATACCTCTAATTTTAATATTATTATTATATTTACGTCAATTTTGTAATATTCGTTCAGAAAAAAATTTTATATTTACCACGTAAGCAGAAAATTCATATTTTGTTCCGAGCAAGGCTTATATTTAAATTTTAATTGCAAAGATAGTTGAATTTATGTTTTTCAGTTGAAAAGTTATAGCGAAAAATAAAATCAAAAATAATAAAATATAATTAAAAAGAACTATCACCAAAG